CTATAGTTCAGGATGTGTGGAAGTCTAGCCGGATTATCTCTTCCCCAATGGTACAATTCATAACTCAGCAGCGTACCTGAAGAATCGCTTCGTTATCAATTTAATCTTCAGCAGAGTCATCAATAATCTGTGGTATTGTGAGCTCCCCACTGCAAATTCTTCCCAATATCCCCAGCAATCTTTGGTACTGCAGGTTTCCAGCGCCGACATATAATGGCATCCCTATTGATGGGAAACGGTTCCCAATGATCCTTTGCTTATCCCCGTGAAGTCTATTTCTTTGCATTGCATATAGTTATCATTGCATAACATTGCATCCTCAAAAGCGCGTAGCCGATCCATCAGAATGGATCTTTGTGGCAAAAGAAATTCAAACATGCATACGAAGCATAAGCCATATCAGGTACCTTATATGAGACCTAAATCATTAAAGGATAACAATACATCCCCGCAAGAGGGTATCACGTCCCAAAATCCCCAATTGGTGACCTTCGCCTCCACCTATTCCCAATAAATTCGACATACACCTTGTTATTCTAAACCCAGTTCCCGTCTGATAGCCAACTCTCATCTGACAAATAATTCAGTATTCCAACACTCGTCCGTGTTTAAAACCTTTTGATACTCGTTTGTATGTTCTTTCAATACTCGTCCATATTGATTCAAACACTCGTCTGTAATTAAAACCTTTTGATACTCATTTGTATCTTCTTTCAATACTCGTTCGTATTGATTCAAACACTTGTCTGTGTTTAAACTTTTTGATACTCGTCTGTATCTTCTTTCAATACTCATCCGTATTGATTCAAACACTCGACTGTGTTTAAACTTTTTGATACTCGTCTATATCTTCTTTCAATACTCGTCCGTATTGATTCAAACACTCGTCCGTGTTTAAAACCTTTTGATACTCGTTTGTATCTTCTTTCCATACTCGTCTGTATTGATCCAAACACTTGTCTGTGTCAACTCCTAAACATTCATCAGTGTCAGTCTCCCAAACACTCGTCCGTGTTTAACCTTTCCTTGATACTCATCTGTATCTTCCTTCCATACTCGTCCGTATTGATCCCAACACTCATTTGTGTTATCTCTTCCTTGATACTCGTCCGTATCTTCTTTCTATACTCGTCTGTATTGATTCCAACACTCATCTGTGTAAACCCTTCCTTGATACCCATTCGTATCTTCTTTCGATACCCGTCTGTGTCAACTCCTAAACACTCGTCTGTGTCAATTCCTAAGCACTCATTCATGTCAGTCTCCTGAAAACTCGTCTGTGTTTAAAACTTTTGATACTCGTCTATATCTTCTTTCAATACTCATTCGTATTGATTCAAACACTCGTCCGTGTTTAACATTTTGATACTCGTCTGTATCTTCTTTCAATACTCATCCGTATTGATTCAAACACTCGTCCGTGTTTAACCTTTTGATACTCGTCTTTATCTTCTTTCAATACTCGTCTGTATTGATTCAAACACTCGTCCGTGTTTAACCTTTTGATACTCGTCGGTATCTTCTTTCAATACTCGTCCGTATTGATTCAAACACTCATCCGTGTTTAACCTTTTGATACTCGTGTGTATCTTCTTTCGATACTCATCCGTATTGATTCAAAAACTCGTCCGTGTTTAACCTTTTGATACCTGTCTGTATCTTCTTTCAATACTCGTCTGTATTGATTCAAACACTCGTCCGTGTTTAACCTTTGGATACTCGTATGTATCTTGTTTCAATACTCGTCTGTATTGGTTCAAACACTTGTCTTTGTTTAACCTTTTGATACCCGTCCGTATCTTTTTTCGATACTCGTCTGTATTGATTCTAACACTCGTCTATTTTATCTCTTCCTTGGTACTCGTCTATATCTTATTTTGATACTCGTTTGTATTGATTCCAACACTCGTCCGTGTTATCTTTTCTTTGATACCAGTCTGTATCTTCTTTCGATACTCATCCGTATTAACTAAAACACTCGTCTGTGTTTAACCTTTCTTCGATACTCATCCGTATCAATTCAAACACTCGTCCGTGTTATACCTTCCTTGTATTGGCATCACGCTACATTACAAGTCATCATGTCATGATCGATGTCTTCCTTTCAATCATCGTGTCCTGATCCATTTTTTCCTCTGAGTCATCGTGTCTTGATCGATGTACTTTGATGTCGTCGTGTCCTGATCAACGTATATCTCTGGTTTAGTCCCACCTTTTGGTTAATTCCACAACATATATCATAAAATAAAATAAAAAACAATAATAAATAAACACTCACACTTTCTCTCAGAACAAATTTTTGGCATTAGTATTTAATCATATTCAACCTTGAACTTCCGAAAGGCACACGCCAATCGTACTTTCAGGTTTAAGACGATTAAATAGGGACAACTGTAATACCTCAAATTTGTCCTACCTCTTTCACTTTTATCTGGCTTATGCATTGTTGCGCTTTTCTCATGTACATAACTCCATTAGGTCATCTAATTTATAATTCACTCATTAATCAATCAAATGGGCATGTGATCTAAGATATTGAGGAATTAGGGTTGTTGTATGGCTTTAAGTCTCTCGTCTTCACTCAAGGGATCATTTGGTTTCATCATTAACAATGGTCTATGGAGCTAGGGTATTTGTGCTTGGGGTCATTGAGAGCTTTATCCTCATCAAGCTAAAAAGATCATCAAGTTCGCCATCAAAAGGTTGTGACTTGTTAATGCAGGGATTTTCATCAAAACCTCAAATAGATACTTTGTAAGCTAGGGTTTGGACCTTATCAATATCTCAAATGCATCTCAAGAGTATTATGGTTTTATCCCTGGTGCTTACGCTTGTTAATTCAGTTAAGGTTCATCGGAGGTTCTCTCTTCTTCTCCAAGTATCCTTTTAAGTTTCAAAGACTCTTCAATGCATTTTGTCGTGTTGAAGTGAAATACAAGTGCAAGTAATGGCAGGGGAGATGAACTTATCGACTCATTCAGATTAAGGAAATTCTGGTTCTCATCATTGTTACTTGTCGTTGGCAATATAAGTTGGTCTAGAATTAAGATTGAATTGGAATAATTGATCTGAATTTATTCATTGGTGAGTGTTCATTCAAGTTGCCTAATGTGTTTAGGTAAATCGAGTTTTTCTTACAAAATTGAAGATTTTGTGGATAATGTTTTCTTAAGAGGTATTCAAGTGCCATTCATCATTGTTCAAATATTATTTCTCATAGCCAAAGGTTCCTTCAAAAGCAAGACATAAGGATTCATACATGGGTGCAAAGTCAAAGGAAATTGTGAATTCGAGTTATAAACTTAGAAAGGAAAATCATATTGAATCCTTTGAAAGAAGTATCACGTGAATTCAAAGATTCACGAGGCAATACATCATCATAAATTTCCAATTATCATGGCAATTTCAAGTTGTTACAAAATATCATGGTTCATCCAAGTTCACCATGATGCTTTCCAAGTTTTGATCATAATTCCATTTATACATTATAAATGATCCAGAACCATTTTAATACTCCATTCAAAAACCATCCTTCCATTACAAAGCCGACCCAAGTACGTTATTGTCAATTTAACCATTCTGTTACAAAAATACATATCAAATTCACATTGAAGTACCCAAAATCTACGTATTCTAAACCTAAGGATCTAAGCATTACATTCATTAATCTTCATGGCCATGTACATGTTGCTTTGATAATCTTCATGCCTCATATCACAAGCTACCGATATAGCGCCTTTCTTGCCTAAAACTTGTACGAAACATCACAGGAAAAACATGAAATCAATCTGTAACCAATAAACCAAACTGAACCATATATATAACAGGAAATTTGCAGCTGACAAATAACAGAGAAAATAGAAGCCATGATCCTGCATTGGTAAAAACAGGTCCATACCACTCTGCAATACAAAATCCAGTTCAGAAAACTGCCTTTTTCGGAATAAAATCGGAAAACGGAAAGAACCAAATCAACCATTTCCAAACAAAAGCATAGAAGAAAACGGAAGCATAATATCATCACAAACTGTCCAAACAGAAAACTACAAATATCCACTGACTAACAAACCCCAACCACTTCCTAACCAATTCCAAACAGTTTTTAAACAACCTTCTAATAACCCTTCATAACTAAATCTTAACAAAAACAAAAATATCCTATAACCAATCTCTAATTGATTTCTAACCAATTTCAGACTACATCAAAACAGAACTTCATAACAGTTAACAAAAGGCCAAATTCTAAGAGAATCATAACAGAAAACTAACTCCCTAACTGTTTCCTAACTAACCAACAGAAAATGACCCTGCATAATAGAAACCTCTAACATATTTCTCAACTACCAGAAAAATCCCTAACAGCTTTTATCCTAACTGTCAACAGAATCTAAGCAAAAAACCAGACTCCATCCTAACAATCGAGTCATAACAGAAACTATAACCACCAAACAGAATTATGCAACCAACATCCAACTGTAACTAATTTCTAAACTAACAGAATCCTATCCCAGTAGCATATAGCAGAAACTTCTCAACAGAAAGAAAAAAATGGTAATAGAAGGAGAGGGAAGAGAGGAATTCACAATTCAGAAGAGGAGAATAACATGAAAAGCTCACCAGAAAAACTCTCTGCGCTCTCTTCTTTTCGACCTTCAACCTTTCAACCGACTTTTTTCCGCTCAACTTCACTCTCTGCAAATACTTCATCATCTTGACATCTTCTTGGAACCTTCTTATTCATTCTCTAAGTCTCCATCACTCTTAAGGATGCAACACCAATTCTGAAAAAATCCCAGAAGCTCCTCTCTCTTGCTGAACCGAATTCCTTAACCTTCAATCTTCCTTGATCATTCATCATCACCGACGTTCTTCAATCAATTCTCAACAAATTCAATTCACGAAAAAACCACAAAAACCTTCATCACTCTCTTCACGATTCTTCTATCAACATCAACACATAGCTTTTATCATCTTCATTAAAGTTTCTTCAGTCGTCTTCATCAACAATCTTCTACTGCATCTTCCTCATCGTAGCGGTTCTACGTATCAATAACCATAACAACCTTCATCCATCAAAACGCATAAATCAGAAAAAGAGAAGAAGAATTCGAGGTTCTTGGAGAGCACAAATCAGAACTGGATTACCTCGTTTTGTTTAACTTCGATCGGAGAAGAGGTTCTTGAAGAGCATCGCGGGTTGAAGAAGACGGTAGTAGAAGGTGATGCGATCGATGCATCGAAGGAGAAGAGTGTGAGGTCGAGATAATGAAACTGAAGGAGGAGAGAAGAGGAGAAGGCAAAGCGAATGGTGGTGCAGTGGTGATTTAGATCGGATATCCGTCCATTCCGATTGAGAATGGAAAAGGGAAGAAGATCATATTCGCCATATGAAGTTGAACCGTCATCCGTTAACCTAGCTAAAAACATTGCGTTCTCCTATCTCTATTCAATTGTTTTTTTGTTTATTTCTTTAATGGATAAACATCATAATCATGACCAAGTAAGCAAAATCTGGATTGTTATTGTTGTTGGCCCTTGACTGAAGCAATTTCCTAAGCCCAATGTACATTTTTAGTGAAAGTTTGATGCAACAAAAACCCCTTGGTTGAACCTTATCCGAATTGGGCCTTGCACCTATGGCTCATTTCTAATCATACCGCTGGATTCAGCTTGCACATCCCTTCGGTTTGGTTGTCTGAATTTCTTTTCCATAATTTGTTTAATTTTTCTTTTCATTAATTTTGATAGCATAAAATTGTTATGAAAAGGGTGATACAAAAAAATAGTAGAATAAGCTACTTGAATTTAGAATTTTTCTTATAGAATTTAATTGAGAGTTTGTCGTTATTTTCCTTCATATTTCATGATTAATTCTTGATACTATTCTTGCCTTGATTTTGCGATAGTATGTTGGCTTGTGATGATTAAGCGCTTGAGGATTAACTTGGTTAATTGTGGTGGAGCTCTTGAAATATTTCTCATTGCTTGTGTGGTTTTGAAGAAGCAACAGACTTTCTCTGTTCGGTATCATCGCAACCCTATTTTACTCCTCATTTCTCACTTTATTTCCTTCTAGATACCATGAGAAGTAGGAAATAAAGAGTATGCGCTCTAAGTCGCTGTTTAAAGACCTGTAGCAGGCATTCCGCACTTCATTTTCTATATATGTTGTACTTGTGTTTGTTTCCTTGGTTACGATCGACGAGTCACTCAATTTAGAAATTGAGATCACGACTTCGCTCTTAGTGCATGTTCCCTATAGGATTTTATTTCTTTCCTTTTTTCTTGTTGATCGATGAGTCACTCAATTTAGAAATTGAGATCACGACTGCGCTCTCATTGCATGTTCCCTATAGGATAGTTTTGTTAGACTTTCTTTGGTATGCTAACCTAGATAGGATCTCTCTAGTTATGCTCTCTTGAGTTTATTAGCTTGTTTGCTTTATCCTTGTACATAGCATGTTCCCTTAGGATGCGCTTGCTCCGTTCGGACGCAAGTTAGACCTTAGGTTGCAAATCATGCATACTAACATTAGGTATAAATTTCCCTTTTCATCCTTGACGTAGGGCTACCATTGTATGATAACATTAGGTTAGAAATAGGCTAGTCTCCCTTAGACTCTTTTCTTACCTTTTTGCATATGCATCTAAAATTAAAACTTCTTTTCTTAGCAAATCAAAAACATGCTAATCATACTTAAACCCTTTTTCGAGGTAACAAAAATACAAACCAACTCAAACCATTTTATGCACTGGAGCACCTTTTATCTAAAACCCTTTTCAGGTAAGGACATGATTAATTTACTTTTGTGTTAACTCATAAGTCTCCAAAGGTCGAGCAGCGGCAGAAGGCGGAATTAACGTTATCCATAAAAAACATAAACAAACAAAACATGTGAGCCGAACTACGGTAGCTCTGATTCCTCAAAAAGGATACGTAGGCATTGGGGTAGGGCCTAAGCGAGTATAATTTTATTTTCCCTACATTCTTTTCTCCTTTCTTTTGCATGCATTCTCCTTCAGTAGTATAGTAAACAGTAGGCATAGTTTAACCACACCCATAAGATAGACAACAAGAGTGGATACCGTAGAGTACTACGAGCGTGTGGGGTTCTAATACCTTCCCCTCGCGTAACAGACTCCCTTACCCGATCTCTCGGTTGCAAGACCGTGACTTCTCCCTTCTCAGGTTTTCTCGATGTTTACCTTTCCCTTCATGTGGGATAAAGACGTTCGATGGAGACTTCATTGTTTGATGATTTTCAGTCGGTTGTTTCAATGTAAAGGGAAGGTATTAGCACCCTAAACATCTATGGTACTCCGCAAGAACCTCTTTGTAAAATCTGTATATTTTGGCTATGAAAAATGTTGTATAAAATAGATGGTAGAGGTGAGAAAAGAAATATATTTTTTATGATTTTTGCACCCGCCGCGGTTGCGAAGCTTTAGTGCCTACGTACCACCTTTTCGTGCAATAGGGGATCAGGGTACACGTAGTTCCTCTTTAAAAAAATTTAAAACACAAATGTGTTGGTTAATTTTATGAGATAAAACATCACCGTCATTGTCTGTGTGGAAAACATACCCACCACCCATAATCATGAGAAAGGAGAATTTGCATCATCTCAAAGTGGAGGATATGACTTGGATTTTAGAATCACAATGCCTCAGTCAACACCCAAGTGGAAAATATCTCTCTTCACTACATATTGTAGAAGTATAGTTGTTTGCATCACTACAAGGATTGACAAGAGTTCAATCTTTTGAAAAAAGTTTAAAGATAAAAGCCAAAGTGGCAAAATTATTTGAAATGAGATTGATTGAATTTTATTCTTCTCACAAAAAATGACAAAGTATTATTAAGTTTATTGAAGTTTATTTATGAAAATCTTTGAAAATTCATGGACCTAAGTCCAAGTTTATTATTAAAGTGGTACAAGTTTAAAACAAGAAGAGTTTTCAAAAGGAGGAAGAAGATTTTTGAAATTAAAGAAGATGGGAGGAGAAGAAGAGGTTATCCTAAAGCATAAGGTAAAAGCTAGGGATGAGAACCATCTAACCAGCAAGAAGCCAATACTTGACACTATGAGCCATGATAGAATTCTAATTCTTTGGATTGAAACCAAACAAGCAAAAATAATAGACCTCTTGAGAGAACCAAACTTCAAGTGTATAAAGTCTTCACAAAAATTGGGCAGAGTAACGGCTGTATACGGGTGAATTCCAGATTACAAATAAAGGGTGTAATCACAATAACCTGCACACAAAAAACAAATAACCCAATGTCTTGAGATAAACCTCAAGAACTCCAGACAAAATAATCAGATAAGATCACAAGGTCTCTAATCATAAGCCAAGGTTTCTAATCCTAAGTCCAAAAAGTCCAATGCTCCATAATGCCAAGGATAGTAACCAAATAGTCCAAGTATCATTAAATATTTTTAGGGTTTGTGTTGATTATTAGGTGTTTTAAAAATAAAAGTAAAACTCAAGTGATCCAAAATAAAAATGACAAGAAAGTAAATACTCAAATGAGCAATGATGAAAATGGCATGAAATATAAATGCTAAAAGTAAATAGTGCATAAAAGTAAAAGGGGCATATAATAAAAGTAAATGATAAAGTCAATTAGTAGTGATTAGTGGTTAGTTGGATGATCATCTTGAAACTTGCATTTGGAACTCATTAGAGGATTGGTAGAACCAAAGCCTTCATACAACAAGTTGCATTTGCTTTTTGTCAAGTATGTCATCCATTTGGAATCCTTATGAATATCATTTAATGATCAACGATGTTTACGTGATCCACGTTGGCCAAAGGTGTTGTAGATCCATTAGAGGATTGGTATAACCAAAGCCTCCACACAATGAATCTCAAGGTTATTGGATTAAAGAGATCAAATTAGCATACTTGGGATTGCAAACATAAGTTTGGGCCACGAATAATCATTTATTCGAATCAGGACAAAATTTAGCGTTATGTTAAGCAATCGTAAGTGGACTTATATAGAAGTCGCACCTATTTTCTGTCCGGTCAATAGAAACCTATGCACCATTTTTTTTGAGACATGATATAGAGATCATGGTCCAACAACACTTAGTGCAATAAGAAAGGGATGAGATGAAGAGGGGTGAGAGAGAATATACAAACCACTTTTGGATTAAATTTAATCAAATTATTATTAAAATCAGCCAGGATCCAATGATGTTAATAAAGTTCATGATCAAAAATTTAACCAAAGATCAGCCAGGAAATAATCACAAAATAATATTACATATAATATATACAAAAAAAGGATTAAAAAAATGTTTTAAAATAGAAATCAAAGAGAAAAATATCAACTATGTTCAAATTAATCAAGAAATAGAAAGTGAGACTATAGAAAAATCAGAAAAGGACTCAAATGATTTTATAAATTTTTTGGTAATTTTTAAAGTCAGAAACTATTTTTAAAATTAAAATTAAGGGGTAAAATAAACCAAAAATGATTAAAAAAACAAGGTCAGAAACAAAAATAATATAAGGTCACCAATATTTGTCACAATATCATTGGATCATTCCATAATTTTTTTAGAATTTAAAAATGCATAAAAGTATTTTTAAACATTTAAAACAATTCAAATAAAGTGAAAATTTATAAAAAATACCAAAACACAAAATTAAATTTTGAAAAAATAAAAATCAGAAAGAGAATAATGAAAAATATTTTTCAGATTTTTTGGACATAAAATGAATTTTCTATGATTTTTTGAAGTTTAAAACAATTAAGTATAAAAATCAGAAAAGAAAATAAAAGTCAAAAATATGTGGACCGTTGGATGAGAGTCAAAACGCGTTAGTAATAAGATCCAAAGGATCTGGCGCGCTGTGCATATCATGGTCATTAGTGAATAAAGCATAGAATCAAAAATAAAATCAGAATTAAAAAAAAAAGTGGCACGCCATCATTGGTTGGAAGATGACACGTTGGTCATCTTCAACCTCCAGCCAACGTGAATTGCAGGTCTCTCAAAATTTAAAATCATAAGCTCAGACCTATGCCATTCGCTTCGTCTCTTCAAGACGAAGACAATCACACCCTCACACCAAATTCATATAAACTATAGCTCTAGCAATTTGAAAGGAAGATTTTAAAAAGGGACACTGGTGTGAGGGTGTGGTTGTCTTCGTCTTGAAGAGACGAAGCGAATGACATAGGTCTGAGCTTATGATTTTAAATTTTGAGAGACCTGCAATTCATGTTGGCTGGAGGTTGAAGATGACCAACGTGTCATCTTCCAACCAATGATGGCGTGCCACTTTTTTTTTTAATTCTGATTTTATTTTTGATTCTATGCTTTATTCAGTAATGACCATGATATGCAGAGTGTAACACCCCAGTTTTAATTATTTGATTTATTTTAATGGGAGAATTATTTTATTGGAGT